TTCGATGAATCAACCGAAACTTTTACATGTTACATTGAGAGATTAGAGCTTTTCTTTATCGCCAACGACGTCAAAGATGAAAAGAAAAAAGCTTCTTTATTGAGCTTAATTGGCCCAAAGACTTACACACTTCTTCGAAGCTTAACATCCCCACAAAAACCGAAAGACAAGACTTACAACGAAATAATCAAACTCCTCGAAAACCATCTATCCCCCGTTCCACTGGAAATCGCCGAACGCTTCAAGTTTCACCAGCGTTGCCAAGGACCCAATGAAAACATCAACACTTTCATAGCTGAATTAAGGAAATTGACTGAACATTGTAACTTTGGTGCTTTCTTGGCCCAGRCCCTCCGAGACCGTTTCGTTTGCGGCCTAGCACATGAAACTATACAGAAAAGGTTACTATGTGAAAGAGAACTCACCCTCGAAAAAGCAATAACAACCGCACTCGCCATGGAAAAAGCTACCAAAGATGCAAATTCTTTCCATGATCACATTGCTGTGGAGACTCGTGAACACGACACGTCACGTCAAAAACAAGTTTTTAAGCTGGAAAAATCCAAGAAGTGTATGAGCTGCGGCAAGTCAGGACACGCCCGCAAGGACTGCCGTTTTTACAAYGCCACATGCCATAATTGCAAAAAACGTGGACACATATCAACTGTTTGCATGTCCAAACAATCACCACCTAACGTCACTCACTCACTCGATGAGGAGCTGGTAGAGCAAGGAGAAGAGAATGAAATCCCATGCATGCACATATACAGATGCACTGGAAACAACAATCCTCCGATAACAATCAACGTTGAAATTGAAGGGTCACCAGTCAGCATGGAACTTGACACTGGATCATCAGTATCTATAATACCCAACAACGTCTATGAGAAAATCTGCAGGCACATAAAGTTGAAGAAAACCGTCGTCAAACTCCGAACGTATGACAATGGACTGATAACTCCTAAAGGAGTGATTGACGCAGAGGTCACGTACAACGGCGAACACCGCATTGCACAGATGTACGTGGTAGATGGACCCCGAGTTGCTCTCTTCGGACGCTCCTGGCTCAACRTCTTCAAACTTGACTGGCCGTCCATTAAACTAGTGCAAGCCAAGAATACGCCACTTGAAAACCTACTCGAGAAGTACCGTAACGATGTATTCGGCGACAAATTGGGCTGTTTAAAGGGATTCCAAGCCCAATTGCATGTRCGCGATGGAGCCACACCAATCCACCTGAAACACCGTACAGTTGCTTTTTCAGTGCGACCAAAGATTGAGGCAGAATTAGACGAATTGGAGAAGCAAGGAATCATATCCCCTATCTCTAACAGCGAGTGGGCAACCCCAGTTGTTCCGGTTATCAAGACATCTGGAAGCGTACGTCTATGCGGCGACTATAAGGTCACAGTAAATCCAGAACTTGTAGCCGATACATACCCGCTCCCTACGTTGGATGACCTCCAAGAAAAGATGAATGGCGGAGTTTTATTCTCAAAACTGGATTTAGCCAAGGCGTATTCCCAGATCCCAGTACACGAGTCCTCCAGGCAATACACCACCCTCACGACACACAAAGGACTCTATGCCTACAACCGACTGCCATTCGGCGTATCTTCCTCAGCAGCCATTTTTCAAAGACAGATGGACCGCATCTTCAAGGATCTTCCACACGTTCTATGCTACCAAGACGACATCCTAATCACCGGGAAAGACCACGATCAGCACTTAGCGACCCTCACAGCAGTATTAAACCGATTGCAGGAAAATGGACTTACAGTAAAGAGGGAGAAGTGTGAGTTCATGAAGCCTTCGCTGCAGTACCTCGGTCACATGATTGATAAAGATGGCATTCACCCAGTACACGATAAGGTAGAGGCAATCAAGACTGCCCCACCACCCAACGACGTGTCGCAACTTCGCGCTTTCCTAGGTCTCGTTAACTATTATCAAAAGTTCCTGCCGAACTTATCACACGTGTTGCATCCACTACACCAACTACTCCAAAAGGAAATCCAGTGGTCTTGGACAGGAGAATGTCAAGCAGCTTTCGACCAGGTTAAATCTATGATAACGGTGCAGAGTGTGCTTGTACCGTACGACCCCAAGATGCCTGTAATTCTTGACTGTGATGCGTCTGCATATGGCCTCGGCGCGGTGTTGTCTCACCGTCTGGTCGATGGATCAGAGCACCCTATCGCTTTCGCCTCAAGGACACTAAGTAAGAGCGAACGCAACTATGCTCAGATTGATAAAGAAGCGTTATCGATAATATTTGGAATAACGCGTTTCCACGTTTACCTGTACGGGAGGCATTTTACACTGCGTACAGATCACCAGCCACTCCTCGCTATACTTGGT